CTGCTTCGAGGGAAACTTCTTTCCAATATCCTGAAAACTCAGAAAGTTGGGAAGTTCATTAACCCTGCAGGAAGAGAAAACTCAGCATCTAGGCACACTTCTACCTGGTGTGCAAGGGGCAACGGAGAGGCTTAAAGGACAGGTTGAGAGAGGCCTTAGGATAACAGTTTCCCAGCCCCTGGATGCTCTCTGCTCCATCCTGCCTGTCCTTTGGCACTGAAGCTAAAACCATGGGGGGCTCCCAGGTTGGGTTTGTTTGGCTGGTACAATGTGTTTTGTTTGCAGCTCTTGAAATACCTATGCAAAGCCCTAAGAGCTCTCTCATCTCAGCCTGCAACTGATTCATATGGATGGGAGTTACAAAGCTGTATGACCCCTGTCTCTGTTCTACAGACCTGGATTTGTCCTTGGGCAAAAGCTGGTGTCGTAAAATGCCAGGAATCTTGGCTCAGGAGAGCCCACGTCCTATACCCTCTCGTCCTGCAATTACTGGGCAGCTAATGCTCTCAGCCAGGGAACGTCCATGGGAGCAGGACGGGGCTTGATTAAATGCCAGCAGAGCTGATGTAATTGTTCACATGCTGGAGCTGTGAGAGTAAAATGTGCTACAGCCTTATGCACGTCGCATCTATACAATGCCAAACCAGGGAGCAGGAGGGAAGGCTGGGAGAAGGCATTGACATTCTCCTGGAGGCTGGTGACCCAGTGTTTCCAATCCCAGTTCCTTTGGGATTACTTCAAAGAGGAATTTTCCTACTGTCTAGTCCCTAATACTCAACTTTCCCACTCTTCCCATCCTTTAGTTTTTCTCCTAAGGAAAGCTTAAGAGGAACTTGTAGGACTAAACGTGCCTGGCACATGTAACAAGTTGTAGTAACCAGAATAACCCCTCTACAAAGGATTTTTTGAAATAAGGATGCAGTAGTGAGGTTGTCATAGAAACAACTGTATTCCTTCCCCACAGAGAGGTAAAAGAGGCTGCTGTTCCTCATCCGGAGAGGAATGCAGCCGGGATGTGATCCTGAGGGGCCTGTCGCTCCTGAGGCAACTGTAAAGGCACTCAGCATCTCAAAGGATGAGCTTTCATTCCAGTGCATTGTGTCTCAGTCTTGATGAAGATATTACAAGATGTGGTACCTGTTCCCCGAGCAGACTCAGTGCAGGAGCCCCACTGAAGCCATTCTTCAAGGCAAACTCTCTTTGAAGGAGCTAGATGGGAAGACATCCAGTGAGATAAACTACTTCTCATCCATTTGGTGATGAATGTGTTCCCAGGGAAGGGAGGGTAACAAAGGAGCATGGAGTGAGCAGATACTCTGAGGTGGTGGGATGAAGGCAACCTTCCTTGCAGGCTTTCATAACCCTTTGGTTAACCGTGATCTTAAGCATTGCTTTCTTAGCTTGAACATCAACAGATCAAAGTACAGTTTGCTCACAGTGTGGGTTGGTCACTGCTTGGGTATACACCCCATGTGTATAAACTCTGAACAAGAGGACAAATGACAAATACCAGGTAGCTATTTTCCAAACAGGAAAGGAATTGTCAAGATGAGCATGTTCAGTACTTAGTTACAAACTGATATCCAGTGATGTTACTACTGGCAAGCCCAGCTCAGGTTGTCAGTTCATAGACATGTTAGCTGCACCATCCTTTCACTATTCAGCCACTTCTCATCCATGTTCACCTAGGATTTGCTTCTCAGTGCTATGAAGACCATCCTGTCACTTTGGACATGGAAAATGGGATCTTACCTATGGAAACAAACCTTACAAACAATCTTGCACGGGTCCTGCAAACAACCCCTGTATGAGGATTCTTTGGATCATACTTGAAAGGTTCTTCATTGCTCCTGTTCTCGGCCCATTGCGGACCCAGTGTGTGACTCAATGATCAGACACATCCCAGGAACAAAACAGGCCACTAATGGGCACTGTTCATGGCCATAAAGTTGTTACCATGACTTTCATGACTCCTAAGACGGATGCTGGGATGCAGTTTACTCAGAGGGGCCAACAGAAGTAAGAGACTATCCAGAAACTACTTGGAAAAATTGCTCAGGAAAAGATTTTAACCTGATTTCCACTTTTCTGTGGGTTATTTTGTAATTACACTGCAAATGACCTCAAACAGCATCTTGAAGAACAATAGGAAAACCTGTCCTTGTTCAGATCCTTTCTTTCAGACACAGATGGAGCTGCTGGCTGTCCTTGGGGGCTATTTACCACTAGGGCTAAGTTAAAGATCAGTATTTCAAGCAGGTGATGTTTGTGCCATGTGTCAAGGCTCCAGAAGCAGACACAACGGTCTTCTGAAGAGGTGTCACCTGGACACATCAGGGCTGGTGTCTGCCACCTTGGTATTAAATGTTTTCGTGATCTGTGACATGGTACGAGGCTGAAGTTACTAGATAGAGAATCAATTATTCATGATAAAAATGCTACACAAATATTATCTCTCATTTCTCTGCAGCCTTCTTTGCAGAATGTCATCTGCTCTTAAGTAACAAGTTTTTTAATGCGTCTTCACTCCTGGTTTTGCCTGGAGTCCCTGTACCAGGCATCATTTATCACATCATCAAATCCTTCCTCTACCTGTAATCAGACCAGAAAACTCTCAGATTTGACAGAAATTAAACCTTCCCTTCAGCATCAGAAATCCCTCAGGATAATACACAAATAAATCCTAATGAAGACAAAGAAGTCCACACTTACCCAGAGCAGCAGGTAGAGCTCAAGAGAATTGGAAGCTATAGCTCACCTCTGGCCCTGGCTCACACAAGAGACAGCTAAAACACCTTTTAAAGTATTTCCTGATAAATCCTCAGCTTAAGAATGAATGATGAGGAAATCAATATAAACCCATATTTGCATGCTGGAGCAGTGGCTTCCATTATTTTTTAATCAGTAATTAAAGAAAAAATAATTACTGAAACTTGAAGCTATTCCATCTGATTCTCACTCTCACAACTCGCTTGTATTCATCTACTAGCATGTGAAGAGGGCAGTGATTACACTCCTGCCAATGCATGAGCTTTACCAGAGCAGGATTTGCCTTGAGTGGCCTAAAGCAAGGGCAGACTAATTTAGTTCACAAAGGTAAATTAAGCTGATAGGCTTTAATTAGGGGAAGCGCCATTTACAACTCAATATGGGGCATAAGGTTATTTGTGCTCAGCACAGTCTCTTAGAAGATGACAGCACTTCCCTTTTCCTCTCTCTAAAGCAAAACTCTTGAATCAAAATGAATGCTCTAGGTCCTGAACTGCATATTCTCCTCATCCCATCTGCCATATTGATATCCTGAATTCCACTTAGATCTCCATTTTTTCCTTTAGTGGGTGAGTAAGGTCAATTTGAACATGTTGCTCCTTTCTGTGCTTTCTGAAAGCTTTCTGTGGATATACCCCATAGCCTGGTTCACTTATTTTTCCCTCTATTTTATGTGGCTGCTTAGAGATGTATGTGCAGCAGAAGCCTAGAGGTTGGGGCTGACTGACCAAAACCCTGTTAACACCACAGCTCTGAATCATGGAACACCCTTTCAGGTGTTTTATTCTTCTGGTGCAGCTAAATACACATACACAGCTAATACACAACTGCAGTGATACAGCTGTGTACAAGGTGTGCACCCACTGATCAGGCTGGAGGATTTGGGCATGAGTAACAGGCTAAAACATGCTGCCAAGAAGAAAGGTGCTGAAGGTGTTCTAGGAAAGGCAGAATGAGGGAGAAGGTTTTCAGTCTACAACAGTCGTGTACAGTGACTGCTTTAAGTTCTGTGCACAGAAAAGCATAGTAAAGCCTCATTTATTTATTTCTAACCCACATGCTATTTCTCACTAGTAAGGATTCAACGTCTGGGCTATAAAAGGATAATGATGAAGTCAAAATCTATTAGAAAGGCAAAACAAAACTCTTGAACACAAAGCCTGTAAAATAGAGGCTTGGGTCCAAAGCCCTCACTGATGCAGGTGGTTTGCAAAGAAGTGGTAGTAGCTTTTAGCAAGAGGGCAATTGCTGGATAGTGCTCTGTACATCCTGAGTTCAGATAATACAAATAGCTGCCTGTGAGAAAAACAGATAGGCTAATGGCCTCTCCTCTCTGCTCAACAGAGCAGGGCTATTCACAAATGTACACTGGCTAGGGGATGGGGGGGGTTATGTGTGTTTTGCTTTTTGCTTTGTATTTTCTCTCTTTGATCAGCTGCTTTTTAAAAGTAAAAACCCAGTAACACAGGAAACCATAATGGAATTCTGTTCTGTGTCATCTTTTCCCCTTTTTGACATGCAACGTATTTAACCAGGTGGCCTACTCAGCTAATGGATGAAAGGCACTTGTTACATTGCTCTGCTGGAGTAGATGAAGCTGATGTGTTCTCCATTATAGGTACCTTGCTTCCAGGGAAGCCAGAACAGATCCAGAGCTCAATTCCACATCCAAGTGCTTATTGTGAAAGTCACAACTGCTATTCACAGGCTGTTTAGATGTTTTTTTTTTTTTTCTGAAAAAAAAAAAACCCTAAATTTATTGACTTTAAGGTTAAAAATCCTTGGATTCATTTTCAGATTACATGAGGAGATGTTTCGGACTGGGAGTGGTTTTGCCAATAAGCAGATTGTCATCTAACCTGAGCAAACTCTATTTTACTCACTAATAATATTTGAGCAGCTTAAAAGTCTATCATCTGTTTCCTTGCTGAGCATGTGATCTTCTGTCAGGCAAGCAGTTTTATTGCTCTCATTTCAGGCTGCCTAGCAAGCTATCAATGTTATATCTACATCTATGTATATTATTATTATTCCCAAGAAAGAGTCACTCAACTTATTCACTCATTAGGGTGAAACCCCCCAAATATCAGATACCATGCAAATGATGCATATATGATACAGAGTCATTCTAGATGTAATAAATTGCCTTCAAGCTGTGTTTTAAACTCACTACACTTCTACAGGCAAGGTTTTATAGAGCTTTCAAAGTAAACACTCAAAGCTCACCATCGTAATATACCAATGCATTTTAATCCAAATAGAAGCAAATACAGTGAATACAGTACTTTTGTGTATAATATTATCCATATATTTTATATGAAAGATTCTAGACTCCATTTTTCTTCCAGACTTTGCATAGTTAGTACAGCCACTACCCCTAGTAACCTGCTAATTTAAGAACAACAGGGTAGTGCATGCGGTGGGCCATGCACTTCTGCCTGTCAATAAAAATACTGTTTCTTTTCACAGCTATTTCTTTTTCTAAATCCATCCTTGTGTCTTCCAGGTTTTTCAGAGACTGTTCAGATTCCAGTAGTTTTTGCTTCAGGGATTCAATGGTCTCCGTTAGTTCTTCAACTTCACTGATCAACCTGCACAGAATTACAGTAAGTAGTAAAAAAAGAGCAGAAGCCAGTTAAAAAAGCATAGAACTATAGGAGGAATAAAGATCAACAGCTATGGAATCATAATACCCAACAACGAAGGAGCTCAGAGAGGTCCTACATACTTGGTCAAAAGCAGTGTTCACTTTCCCAGCTTCTGTATAGAAGTATCCCATGATTCAGATTGTACCAAGAATGCTTTTTGCCACTAAGCACAGCGAAACTATCCATCCTCACCCTCTCCCACTATGTAGGACACTTGTACCAAGAATTACAGGACAGAAATTGTTTGATAAGTCACCCAGTTTGACTGGATCAGCATTTTGTTAAGCCTGGTTTTTGATACCTGTTCACTGGTATAAAACCCAAGAATTACAGAATGGTACTTGTGCCAGAGATCAGAAAACAGTGTTTAAAAGCAGATAAGCTTTTAAAGAAGCAGTAGAACTTCATTTGTTAAAAAGCAGCACGTCACTTCAACTGAAAGTCAGTGGGGGTTACATGCTTTACTGCAATCTGCTGCAGAGAAGGCACATATTTACTTCCTGGGAAAACAAGATCCCTGTGTTCTGGGCAAACGGAGCTACTACAAAAAGCGTAAGCCTGGCAGTTAAACACATGCCCACTCAGCAATGCACTTGCCTGTGTCCTTAAATCCCACTGAAAGAAACACCCATACTGAAAAGCTTGTGCATGGATGGGTTGTTGAATCAGGACCTTAAGTAAGTGTGTCTGAGATGGTACAAAGCGCCTGGATTAACTATAACTTTTTTTCTCACTGTATTAGCACAGCATATTGGCTTTGAATGCTAGGCCCCTTTGCTACAAGGATATTATAAGCCTGCAAAAGCTGATTCTCCGCTTCTCCTAAGGGCAGGAAAATGTGAAGGAGGAGAATCAATTACAAAGCCTGTAATGAGATCAAAACTGACAAATGTGACATTCAGACCTTTAATTTGAAAGGATTTGTTGACCTCCAGTTTTAAAACGGATTATTACTGGAAATCAAATGCCACCAGCCCGATGCTTTGTAGTACGGAGGACTTGTCTCAGACTATGAGTATGTTGCAGCTCATTTATATTCTCAGCACTTGAAGCATAATTCATTTGGCACATAGTCCACCTTGTGGTGACTTTTGCTAAGAGCAACAGGGTTGCAAGTGATCCACATGCTGTCCAATTTCTTTGGATCATCTAAATCAGAAAGAAACCACACAGTTCAGAGAAGCAAGTGTTGAGACAAAAGGCAGAGTTGAATCTATAGATTTTCATTTGTCTATAAATTAAGTTAAAGTGATGTTTTCCTCCCGGTGGTTTCAGTCAATTGAATTATTTCGGACTTACATCAGAATCAAACCTAGTAATAAAAGCTAAAGACTATGTGTTGCCAGTAAAAGGTGCAAAACCTGTCTAACATTACTTCTGGATAGAATGGACACCTTGGAGGACTTGTTTAATAGTTTTTACCTGAATTGTGCTTCGTCTCTGCAGAGCTCTATGTTGGGCCTAAAAGACCTGTCATACAGCCTTGTTTGAGCAACTTTCACTGGGGCTTCTTTGTCTTTGATGGCTTTTTTGAGAGCAGCAATGTTCGCTTCTTGATTCCCAATCTCCCTAAGCACCTAAGAGAACACCCAAGGAAAAGAACTGTTTAAAACCAGACATATATTGTCTCCAAGTAGGCTTTATCCATTTGTTCATGGTCCTGGTAAATCAGTTACCGTCTTGACCTCCTGTTTGGCCAGAATAGGGAAGAAATAGAAGTACAAAGGTGGGTTTGACCTCTACTACTAAAATGAGAATCTGATCTTTCTAAAAAGCAGCAGAAAATATTCTGCAGGCTGTTCAAAACCTCTTTCACATCTCACGTGGGATGACAACACATCCTACCTCCATGAATTGCTTTTAATTGTAAATTATCCAAGAATAATTCAAGTGATTTTGAAGGAGACTGAGAACTTTTCTTTGACTTTCTTCATATTTACATCCATCTCTCATTTAGAGAAGCACAACAGATAGCAAAAGGCTGAATTGGAGCCACGATCAGACTTATAGGATAGTAAGGTGGCACAAGATAGTGTTTGATACTTGACATGGACTACATTTTGTTCTGGAGGACAAATCTACTGTGATCTTCTCAAAAGAGATTTTTATGCCTGTAGCCAGCATTCAAAAAACAGCACTTACGTTCTTCAAATGATGCTCGAGGTTGTGTTTTGCATTGTCCAGCTCCTCACAGCGCCTGACAAAAGCCTCATTCACAGCAGCACATTGTCTCCTCAGGTCCTCAAATACATCATGAAGGATGCTGTCAATCAAGGCACGGAGACTGATGGAAGCCATTTTTTCTCGTTCTGCCCTATAGATGTTGTCATGGGTGAACTTGGGCCATGTCTCTGGTGTTGAAGCACTGGAAGAGGTAAATGGTAAACAAATAGGAACCTTGCTCTTTTGTTCAAGTTGCACTCAAGAAGACAATCTGAAGCTGATTCTCTTCCTGTGTAAGTGCTGTCAACCTCTATTTGTTTTCACTGCTGCATGCAGCCCAGACTTGTCATGAAGGGAGACAACTAACCCTTTATAAAACGAATAAACTCTCATTCATTTTGTGCTTTCTGAGGGAAGTAATACACAAAGTCATCCAAATGTCTTCCATCTTTAGATGCTACTAAGGTAAAGAAGGTATATACATATTTTTTTGTGCAAGCACAAGCAATTAAGTCACCAACAAATAAAGCCATGAATGTATTTAAGCTTTACAGTCTGTGCCTACCTTGAAACAAAAGGTTGTACTTCACCATTTTGAGCAGCAGGAGGAAATACATAGCACCTGGGACACTGCATCATATGAACACTGCCTGAAAGAGCAGGGGGAAGCAGCAGGACTTACAGTAATAGTAACACTCTGTTTCTGGAAGCACTTGCCTTTCCCGAAAGAATGGCATGCCTGCTGATGTCAAACAATAGGTCTCAATAGGATTTAGATCAGCCTTTAAAAGTATAAAGCCCATTATTTCCAAGAAAAACTTTTACAAGCTCAGTTTGCATACAGTGAACCAACTTGACCGTCAGTAGCATGCCATGCTGACATGGTAGCAGTACCTTTACTATCCATGCAGCTATTTTAAAGCTATGACATGGTATGTCCAAAGAAGCAGGAATCACACCCTTAATTCAGACCAGCAGGACAGCTTTCACTGACACAAAGAACGTGTTGTAGCTTACCAAAGGATAACGACAGCAACTACTCACCTTTCCTCATACTTCACTGAACTAGGATGGAACTGGATGCTGGTGCTCTCGTTACTGTATCTGCCACATTTATCATCAATGTTGTACGTCTCAACTTTGTCTGACAAGTCCATTTCACAGATCTCTTTATGATCCCGATTTAGCCTGAAAAGTCATTATTATTACACACTGTTAATGGAAAACAACACAATTAACAAAGCTTTTATGAACCGAGGCTCTGAGCCTTCGCCTGTCAGGAGCAATGAGAACATAAACTTTCCTTTCTGTATGGAAAATCCTAACCAAACCTTCTCTCCCACAACTATCTGCTGGAAGGACAGTAAGCCTCGTGTGCTAATCACTACCCTAGACCTTCAGTACTGTTCTGTGCCTACTGAAGGCTTAGAGCTCTTATGCCCAGAGACAAAGGAGTTGTTGGACATTGGATTTTATATAGTAATCCTAAAACACAGGATGTTTTTAGTAGTGGTTACAGCTGCAGTTATTATGGGCAAAATAGATAGGAGGTTTGCCCAACAGAACACTCTTCCCATAATAAGACATCAGGTAGTGTTAGCAGAAGACCTATCCTTCTCTTTTACTTGAGCATGAATCAAATTTAAGACCTCCATAAAGTGACCCTCTATTATTCTCTGAGTGCTCTGATCCAGCCTTTCAAAGACTGGAGCATGCAGGCTGTGTTATTGTCCTTGGAAGAGAGAAGTACGATGATATTCAGAGTTAAAACTGCTCCTTTTTTTGCCGATTAAATGAGTCACAGGTCGCCCAATTAGTTAGAATGACTTCAGACTACAAAAGGCAGGGGGTCGTTATCAACTGTTAACACCAGATGGCATTCTAACATAAGGAATGACGAAGACTGCCGACCACTGACACTAAACGATAGTACTAAAGTGGTACTAAAATGAACTTAAAACAATCATAAAAAGCAAAGCCTAAACTCAATAGACTCTTCTCATACTCTAATTGATATAAAAGAACTACTTTAAATTATTTTGCGTTTATAAACATTCTTTCTAAATATATTTCACTTTATCTGGTAAATAGCACAAATTAGAAAGAATAAAACCTAAAATACAAAGGCTTACAGCAGTGGACTCTCTCATATCGATGCACCTTAGGATTCAGGTAACATCTTTCCAAAGAGCTTGTTATAAATTAAAAGCAAATATTCCTTTTGAAATGCAAAGAACATCCATAATGATACAGAAGGTAGAATGTTCATATTTTAAGTTCACACTGACATCTGGTGGCAAAAAACTCCTCTTGGAAAGGTCCTTTGATCAGATAAACTATTTTAAAAGAGCCTATACTACAAATACATCACAGGTGAACAAGGTAGAATGATATCCAGATGATACTTTCATTGCACTGAGGTTTAGTGTTGGAGAATTAGATCAACACACAGATCTGAAAATCTAAAGCATGGCTTTAGGGCACAACTCCTCCTACCTTACCCCACTTGGAAATCCTGGACTTTCATCACCAAGTACCTCTTTTCAAGTTTAAATGGAATTCACACAGCTCATAAGCCTGGCTCTGGTATGATCTTTATCCACTGGGCACTTTACCCCTATATATTTGGCTCTATCACTTAGCTACAATGGTATCATGAAAACTGGCTTACCGCATCTGGTTAGCAGCTTGCGACAAAGTTGTTTTCAAAAGCTCCTGAATACTTCTGATAAGCTCAGCTTCCTAAACAAAAACATTGAGACTTCTGTGATATCTGGAGCAGAGCATACTATCCTGCAGAGCAATTTGATTTCAGTGGCTGTGGATAGACACTTAACTCTTCTGCTCACTACTCACCCTATTATTGGTAGACATGATTATCCAAGGAGTTAGCAGATGCTGAGGTTAACTCAGTGGTAAGCCCAAGGCAGCAGCAATACTTGGAACACCTCTAAAACGTGGGGATTCATTATTTTCATACTGCATATTCTATGAAAAAGTCTATGTTCTATGAGATTAAACAGAATATCTGAATGACTTGCACAGCCTTAAAGTAGGCAAAAATAAGCAGATCAGCTCCTCTGGCAAGACACCAGCTTCCAGAACCTGCTGAGTCCTTGCAGCTGCCTTGTCCTGTTGGAAGTGTTTTATCTGCATTCAAGGGAGAGGCTTCCCACCACTCTGAAGCTCTCCAGAAGTATACTTTGACTGGTGATAAGGTGCTATTTAACATAAAGTATCAGCATCTTGTTGGCCTGCCTCCTTCGAATGCTTTGTATTTACTAGAACCAGTAGTTACTATTCTATGATTTAAACACCTATTGCAGCAGGTGTAGGAAAGCTGTCATAATATAGGCCAAATGACACTTAGAGCTTTATTTTTTTTTAATTAGATCTATTTATTCCAGAACCCATTTTGCTCCTGGTGAGGGACAGTATCAAAGGCCTGCAGTTATCTCAAATATGCAATGTTGACTGAGGGGTTGATTTCCTCTCAGCTGCAAGACGTGAAGCTTTGCCTCACTTTGATAATAGAGCCAATGTCTGCAGTTTCAGCTCAAGCTGGTTTTAGCAGGAATGCTTACTTCAGCACAAACACGAATAAACCAAAAAAGACCACACTTTCTAATATTCTTTTATTGAACAAAAATACCAGGTTCTCATTTTTGACTGCAATAATGCTGCTTTAGGGATTATCAGTGCTCTACGTGACTTTACTGACCTGGTGATTACATAGTATTATATAAAACACAGTCCAGCAAGCATTTTCTTTGTTATTATTTAATATTCAAGGCTCAAATATTAAAAAGAGATTTGTATATGAAAACCTCTTCCTTAATTTTGCTGGTTTACATCAATGATAGTCATCCAATGACAGCTAAGGGAGTATATCCTTACTAATAAACTTTATTCCCAGAACACTGCTGGCACTCATTCATCTTTGCACTGGTTTTGACAAATAAATGAGTGTGTATGTCCCTGCAGTGTCAGTTTCTCCATCATAAGACACCAACAGGGACCATAAAAAAGATCATTTTATTTCCAAATGGAAAAGGATGATAATCATGATGGGAAAGAAAATATTATTTTTAAGGCTCTAAAAGAGCAAAACTAAAATGAATGCATAGCTGAAGGTATCATTTTACAAACTATGAGAACATGAAACCTCACTTCCTGCACAGAGGAAGTATTACAATGGATGAGTTGTCAAAGTAAAAATTCCCAGGATTTCAAAGAGTTGGGAAGACCCAGCACTCAAAATTACATTTACAGTAATTCATATTATTTTGTGTTGGATGCAAATAAAAAGATCTCCAGTTCTCTATGAGTAATTTCAACTAAGAAAAGCCTTCCTTTAGCAGTTAAGGTCTCTCACATGGAAAGAGTGAAATAATGCAGTAAAAAAGAATTCTCTTGTGGAATGACCTAAAACAAAATTTACAAATGGATTCCTTGTTGAGGAGATATGCATTCAAATATGACATTTAAAACTGAAGAGACAGTTCTCATCATTAGTGGCAGCACAAGACTGATTAGAGTGAATAAGCAGGTGTAAATGACAATGAATTTTCAATGCTTATCTACTAAATCTTAACTTTTAAAATAGATTAAAAGTCAAGTTGTATGGCTGGGAGTTGCTGTGGCAATAGGTTGAAAAGGAAGATCCTTCATCCCAGCTGTACTCTTAGTCATGTTAGACATCCAGCCTGTTGCCCACCCATAGCTATGGCTGGCTCATGGGACTGATGTGGGAGAAGGTCCACACTGAAGTAATTCCTTCCAGGTAGCACTACCTGCAGAGGAGAAGGACCTGGGAACCTCAGACACCATGTGGAGGACTTCTAAAAGGCCACGTCTGCTCCTTCACATGTTCTTTGCAGAGTAAATTCCAACAACCTGCAGCCAGGAGCACAGCTTTCTTGGACTCATTGATTTCACCCATAAACATGTGGGTGATTCCCCGCTGAAATCCTGAGGGCAGATCTGGGTTTCAGCAAGTGGCAGAAGAGATGACCTTTTTGTGGTGGGTTCACAAAACTGTGCTGGCAATCCATCTGAAGGCCCAGTCTGCACTGAGAGGAAAAGCAAGTGGAAGAGTTCTACAAGATAGCAGCATCTCTGGTTCAGAGAACAACATTAACTGACATTTGCGTTTGAAATGTCTTTTTCTTCTCCTCGTTTTCCCATACATGTCATCATGTGCTATTAAAATGAAATACTGTCAAATCTGAAGTGATCTTGGCTTCTTTTTAGCTATCTTCTCCACAGTTCACACTAATAATAACTCTCTGTTATTATAAATGGTTGTCAATTAACAGGGAGGGAACATTTGATACTTCAGCATATTCCCAGCCATTGGTTTTATTACAGTATTTAATGTTTATGATGCAGAAGTTGAATTTTCCCCAAATCTTGTGATAAAACCATCCCAGTTCATGACTTTGTAAGTGTCTAATTAATGGTGCAAAGAAAATGTTTAAGAGCAGATGTTTATGACTTCCATGAATTTACAAACTCAGGTCTTTTGCAGCCTTCTTTCCATCAGCGAGTTGCAGACGTCAGCAAAGTCTAAATACAGCTCCCAGGACCAGCATGATACAGTGTGAGAGCAGCTAAGAGGAACTGGTAGAACCGTGTGAGAGAGGCTGTGCAGTCACCCTTGATTTCAAACCCAGCTGCACCCACCCACCCATCCATCCATCCATCCGTCAGCAACAACGTGACACCAGATGTTCCGCACATCAGCACAGCAAATAAAAGCAAGCGAGCTCACAGATCTCACCAGCTTCTGACCTCCAAACAGTGTGTAAGAGGAAGCCTGTTCTTCATTACAAGTGGGAGTAAAAGCAGGTACCATCTTCAAAATCCTACTTCTTTCACTGGCCCCTTTCCTGCTGGTCTCTGAATTATTTCAGATACTGAAAATAAGCACTTGCACTCTTAACTGAGTTGTCTACATACAGGAGTGTTCTATTGTACAACTGGTTCACTTGGCAAAGTGTCTGGAAATGGTATTCTGTTGTCTTCCTTGCCCCAGTACTGCACTTAGCAGGAATGCATACATATGAATCCTTTCTCCACCTTTTTAAACTTTAATTTTACACAGTTGACAGGATCTTGGCTGAAGCTTTTGTCTTTGGCATGAGGGAATAGCTGGGGCTGACTTCATTGTTGAAGCAAACACACAACAAATCAACACTCTGAGTCTAGGGTAGAAAAATGGTGTCAATGTAAGTACATCCACTTATTCCACAGTCATATCTGGCACTCAGCTAATGAGTCTGGACAGTGGAAATAACCTTGAAATGCAGTATATACGCAGCTGAAACATGATTTATTGACAGTTCACCACCATGTGGCAAGTCCTTTGCTAGGGCTTACATTTTCAAAATTAAATGTGTGCACATAAACTTACTAAACTGTCATTAAACTGATGCAAAGGGGGTTCAGAGGAGATGTCATAGAGCTTTTGAAAGACAAAAACCTCATACAAAACTGATGGCTTGACTGCTTTTAAATTCAGCTATTTCCACTGCAGCAGCAAAGTAAAATTATTCTATTTGAGAGATTTTATCTTCTTTTTAGTCATCAAGATCCTTCTTTACTGGAGAAATAATTGTGTGTTTCTGCTTCTTTTTCTTAACCAGAACTGCATTAAAAAGAGATTAATATGCTGTTAAGTGGAGTCAATGAACTTCTGAGTAGCAGATGATTTTACTATGCATGTGAGGAGCTTTTACTTAAATACATTCATCTCTCATTCCAGACGTGGCTACTTAGTGGTGGAATTTATCACGATAGGTGATCTAAATGTGATTCCATGCTGCAAAGGAAATAGAACAGATGAATTGGACCCAAAACTCCCTAAAAGAAATAGGTAGTGTGCCAAAAGAAAACCATCAGGAAACCCCAGAATGTTATCTGGATGCATAAAACATCCATCAGAAATACCTGTTTTCTTTGTGAGCCATCTGAACAGATAATGAAAGTGCAATTACATGCAGGGATTCAAAACTGCTTGTATCTGTGTATTTGATGTCATCTCTTCAAATGTCATCTGCCAAGGGGCTGCTGAAATGTGGTTGTCTCAGCAGGATGCTCTGGGAACTGGGAAATCTTTTTCACTGCTGCAGAAAACTGACAGGGGGAACAAAACCTCTGTGCTATGAAAAGCTTTTCCATGATGATGGGAAAGGTAGTCCCTTATCCACACATCCTCTTCTCCTGGCTGCAGGTTCCCCCAGTGTCTGTCCATTGGAGCCAGCAGGAACACAGCAAAGATACCAGAGAATGATATCAACACAGACCTGGGCTGCTAGTAGGTGAAAAAGAATTTCAAAGAAAGGAAAATGATGTAGAATATCAATTAGCTGTGTAATTAAAACTGCAATGAGAGGAACATCTATTTCCTAGCATAGCTGAATTTTGGAAACTAGTTCTTCTTTTCCTCAGTTTTTGCATGGGAAGAGAATAAATTATGCTGGATCTCTCTTGCATTATGATTTCTTGAGAGAATAAAGATTAGAAAGTGACTGGAAAAGTGAGCAACATTCAGAAATGGTATGTCAGTACTTTAGTAATAAAATTTGCAGAACTCCTCCAAATCGGCAAATGCTGTATCACAGAGCTACCAGGGAACTGGGCCATCAGCTTGGCATTCTGTGCAGTGAACAGTCAGAATTCACAGAAGAGCAGCGCTAAGTGGCAAGAATTATTAGTTTTGGAGAGAGTAAGAAGTACAAAGTACAATCTGATTTCTTGCAGTGAAAGAGGTAAGAATATTGCTGCAACTTCAAGAGCTGGCAAAGCCACAGAGGGCACATTTTAACACCTATTTGCAAGCGTTTGTGCCATAAAATCTATTCCTTTGTGAAAATGGAAAGGATTTCCTCTGATATTGTGTACTTCTCTTCCTTCTGCACTGCAAAGGTCATTGGCATGGCAACAAAATCTTCATTTCTCAAGAGTCCATCTGCTGCTGGCACACCCGCCTCAACTGAGCTCACATCATTCCTTTTTGATGACATCCTACTTGGCTGTTGACTGTCTGTCATCACAGGCACACAATCCCAATTTCAGGTGAAGAGTTAGCAGCAGCAGCAGATGCACTTCTGAGCAACAAACAGACTATTCCCTGAGATCAGGAGGAAAGAAATACACGAGAGAAATCCTGCCAGGCAATGATTTCTTTTACTATATCTTACATTCCATGATTTCTCTAAAACATCAGCAGCTGATGAAAAGAATTGCTGTCCTGTAATCTGAATCTTGTAACAATTCACACACTGAAATAGCCTATACATTAACTCTCACATGTTTATATTTTTGACAGGATCAACCTCTTAAATATTGATTAAGATTCAGCAACTGTACACCATTCCTATTTGAAATACTGCTAAATGCGATCATGCTCAACACTATCATGCCATCAACCATGTAAGTCTCTTCAATATTTTTCTAACAAGTAGTATTAATCATCTGGTTTAATCAGTAACCCATCATGAATCAACTTTCACAGTAAATTGGAGACTGAAGGCAAATACTCATTCCTTTATTTATGGGACACTCGAATAGGTGTAATTCCAGAATGAAAAATGACCCTGGGATCTGTTCTCTATAACATGGGCAGCCACAATAATTACACCAGCTTTGATGGCAGTCTACACACCGTGTTGGACCTCAGTGACAGACAACTGTCAGCTGAAGTACAGCATCCTCTATAGGAGGAAAAGGATAAAAGAAATTTCAGGAGAATCTCAGGTTTGTTGAAGTCACATTGTCAGAAATACCGTCTGTGCCCTTTGCTTGCCTTGAACTGTTATCTTGTGTAGGTGTCACACAACTACATCATTCAGGATGTCGAAATGATGGTCTGTGTTGAGACACTGCCACACAGTGCTGGATCACCACCTCGTCATGAACCTTGGCAAGACTACATTAGCCTCAGTGGGAAAAGGTAATGGCAGAGTCTGCCAGATTTGGACAGCTTGAGCATGGGAACAGCCAAGGGGCATTTCACTGGTCCTTATTAAGGGTACTTTGCTTACTGGGCATTGCATTTTTAAAGTGTAACCTGTGGAGATGAGGAGACTAAATTGAGACTGGAAGAAGTTTAACAACACAATAGGATGCCCATCCTGGCTCAGGAAACCTGTTTTGATTTTGCTTGGATTTCGTCTGGGGTGGGTGGGTGGGTGAGGGGTCTGGTCTCCTGTAATCATCCTCATGTGATTTTAAATACTTTTTAAACAGAGGAAGGATTTTAAACAATCCTTCTTAAACCTAGGAGTGGACAGAGTCCAGGCTGCCCTAGGCCTCGGCATTGCCACAGGATATCTGCAGTTATCACATACTGACCAAGCTGTTCATCGTTTTAGAGAGTAGAGCAGCACTAAGAGACAGCTGCCAAGAACCCCTAACATCCTGCTCACCTTCAGCAGCTCTTGTTCCACCTCATCACTGACCAGGTCCGGGGGTTGCCTCCTCTCCCGACACCGCAGGTTATCAGTGGCAATGGCATAGGGCACCGCGGTGGCATCGAGCGCCCTTTCCAGCCGCAGCTTCTGGGCTGCCAGGAGGCCTGTCTCGGCACCCAGGTCCTCAATCTGCCTCTGCAGCTCAGACTTCCAGAAGTGTACGTCCTGCAGGCGCTGGCCCAGGGCGGCTGTGGAGTTCTGCTGGCCGCGCTGAGCAGTGGCAGCGGCACGGGCACACAGCTCCTTGGACTCGGCCCGGTTGCGCTCGCCCCGCTCGCAGCCGGTGAAGGCCTCGCTGTACAGATCAGAGTGGCGCTGGTGCCACTCGTGGGTCAGGTACTTGGCAGTACGGAAACCGGACGCGGTCAGGCGGCTGGAGGAGTGGGGCCCCGTGTTCAGCGCCACCTCACACACCTTCCTGGGTAGCTCGGCGGCGGGCACAGCCTGCGGCGCCGGCTCCTCGGCCAGCAGCGCCTCGGCCTGCGCCATGGGACCGCCGCCTCCCGCAGGGCCAGGCCCCGCGTCCTGCCGTCGCCGGGGCAACGGCGGCAGCCAATGAGGAGGCGGGTTCCTCCCGCTGCGAAGGGAAACCCGAGGCGGCAGCGGGGAACAGCCCGCCCCCCCCGTCCACCAATCAGAGCGCGGATCCGCCCCGAGGGCGCGCCTCATAGGGGCACGCCGGATGTCCAATCGGGAGGCAGCGGGGCGCGGTGGGGGTACTGGGGGTGTCATGGCGGCGTGATGGTGGGCTCTGGGGCGGGAGGTTTCCCCGTCGCAGGCCTTGGAGCGTGTCGCAGTGTTCATAATCCGCGTGTGCGGCCGTGTTGGTGAGAACAAAGGTACGCTGAAGTCTCCACGTTGCGTTCTGGCTCCCCTTTGTGCTAAGGAACTTTTCATTTCCAGCCGCCGCGTGAGCGCAGCAGCGCTTTATGGTGTTGGCTTTGGAAATGGAAGAGAGTCCTGACAGGATTTCAGCCAGGTTCCTGCCCAGAAAACTCTGGAGGCGAGGAGGAGGTGCAGCACGCCCCTCTGGGATGGCTCCTGAGTGGGGGGCAAGGCCTGAGGGGGGTCTGCGGCATCCCCTGGGCTTAGGGCCTTCAGTTTAATCCGTTTTCGCACCTCCTTCCATTTTTATACCAAAATGTTCACCCTTAAGGCAATTTGAGTGACTGTGGCCTTGTCATAGGTCAGGTGCATGTGAAATTCAGTTGCTGTGGCATCCCCTGGTGAATTTTCCCGTGGGAAATGTAGCTTGTGCTTGAATTACATTAAGTCTTGGGGGATGCCATCAATGAGCAGCAATAAAGGAAATTAAAGGAAGGGTTCGAGGCAGAGGCGTCTCCAGAGCTCTTGGAGGAAGGAGGGAAGGTGTTGAACAGCACGGTGACAATAGGGGGCACTCTCGTCCTTGCACTGCGACAGAAACTCTTCAATGTTGTTTCATTGTAGAAAATGGGAAGAAAAAGCCACGTGCGCTGGAGCTTGCTCGGTGTCATCCCGGCTGATCGGCGGCTGGAGGAGAGCAGTATCTGAGCTGCATCGAGGTGAACACAGCAGGTAGTACAACCACACCACGGCATGGAGAAATGACTCCCTGCCTGCTGAGAGATGCTGTTTGCACCACACAAACGTATGCAGGGGACACTTTGCTTTATTAGAGTTTGCTCTAAATCCACAGTCAGTCAATGGTCAATTTTCCAGTGGGGTCTTGCACTCTTTAGAAAGATCAAGTGCTTGTCCCTGATGGAGAGCTTGCTTTGGAAAGATGCACTGTGCATGGGCTGCAAGCTGCTGCCCACCAGCCCTGTGCTGCAGCTGCCAGCACATGTCCAGCAAAGGCCCTTTTCCATAGGGACAGTGTTGAAAAAGGAGATTCAATCCCAGCAGAGATAAGAAATCCTTCACCTTCCCTTTTGCAAATATTATAATTGGCCCTCCACTTAAATAGCAGCAGTAGATGATGCTCTTTGCATTGCTGAAGTCTCAGAAATGACACGCTTTGCTTTCCCTTCACACTTCATTTCTCTCCTTTTTCTTGCATTTTCCCACTAACTGTAGCTGTCCTGTCTGTTCCTTTCCTTATGTTACCCCCAGCCTGTACTTTTCTTTCTCTTTCCTCTGCTTGTGGGCTTCTCTGCATGGTGATCTATGCAAATTTTGCAGTTTTAAAGTACAGTAAGGAAAAACCCTGCTGAGCTATTCAGAGTGAAAGTCCTTGGTATGGAAAATACAGTTTTTCAAAATAAGGGCAGCAATGATTTGCTATGAAGCAGCATTTTTCTCTGAAGGTTTCAGAAGAGCTTTTATTAGTGGCATCTTATCGCAGCCCATTCAGTGTCACCCAGGCAGTTCTGAAGGTGGGTCAGTGGCTAAGGCTGCAAACTTAGCTGAGTTCTAGGCCCTAAATGTGACTGGTAAATTATCATCTTTTCCAACAGGGAAACACTGCACAAAAACCATGTAAAGTCTTTCTTATCTGGTACAAGGATTACTTCAGAGAGCAGTTTTGGGGTCCCAACTGGTCAGTACTTCCAAGGACCAGACAGATGTTTTCATCAGGCTGTGTTTTGTTTGGATTTTTTTGTGTCAGTCTAAGCATGCTTTCAAGTGTTCACAGACACATCGTGTCCTAACAGGCTGCATATCACATTCTTGCAGGAAATAAAAGCAAAACCTACTGGCACCTGCCAGATTCAGGAGTTCCCTTCATTATCCAGGGCAGACCCAGGGCCCCTGTGTTTCAAAGCCATTCTGCCAGTTGAGTGATTTAATATGCCTCTGTAACATATAAATTATTAACAGCTATTCAAAATGTTCCCAGAGCACAAGATGACAAAACATACTGGAAGAACAGAACAGAATTTTTTTCTAGCTCAGATCTTTTGACATGCAGTAGATTAATTTTGGCTAGAATCCTTTTTACAGGAAACTGGTTCCCCTTCTTACAGCAAATGCTCCTATTTATGTCAGGTGCCTTGTGAGCTCTTTGGCTTGCTGTTGTTGCTGCTTCATTTTGTTTCCTTACTTCTTGTTTGATTGTTTTTAAATTAGTGTAAGTGGCTAAAGCAATGTTGTCACCTGGATCCAATCTCCTTGTTGCAGCTAAATCATTCCATGCTGCTGTCTGCAGGACAGGCTGCAAACTGCTCAGTGGAGTAGTACAGGTCTTGTACATGGAGAAGGGAAAGGTTTGCTCTCACACCCCAGCAGCTGGGATGTTTGTGTCTTGTCCATAGCACAGAAGTACTGGAAACCCTTTCTTTAACGAAGGTGTGGGTCCTTTGATGTATTCCTTCTCCCCATAAAGGCAATCAAAAGCTTGAAAATGTGACCCACTTCTATCCAAATATCCCTCTAAGCACAGGCCAATGCATGATGGAGTGTTCTGAAAATGTGCTTTTCAAGCTGTGCTGATGCTTTGGGGGTTGCCTATGGGGACCTGCTGAAGGGAGGCAGCCAACGCCAGCTTACTTTGTTGTTCTAAGCTGAACAAAATCTCAGCACAGCACGGCTCTATCATGGCTGTTTTCTTGGAATTAATGAACATAATGACTAATTAAATACTGTCCCATCAGCAGAGAAATCAGAAACGAGATCAACAAAACCACCTGACATAGATTTTCTTGGAAGAAAGGGCTTTGTTCTCGTGTTTAATGTAGGGAAGCCTTGTTAAGAAGGGAAAGCACATCATAAACCTTCTATAGTTGGCCAGGTATAAAGAGATATATTGCAAACAGGTCTCTGACTGATCACCAAGCATAAATATAATTTACTCTTCTTCCCCTCCCCACTCTCTCTCCCATTTTCCACAGAGAAAAATATCTGGATGTGCTACTGTCAGGGAGATGTGGTGCCTCTGCATCAAAAGCAGTGCAGTCACTTTTCATATCTCTGTTGTAAAGTGCCAAAAGATGTTTCCTCTCTCTCAGCTACCAGAGTAGGGTGGGCAAAGAGAGCTGAACCACTTTCCTGGGCTGGCTGCTAGTCTTTGAAGTGCTCCCTGCTAACAAATAACCAGTCATGCACAAAGGCAAGCAGTCAGTCACACAGTCAGGAAATACCATCTAGCGTTTAACCATCATTCAGCATTTTGCAATAAGGGGAAAAAAAACATAGCTGAAATGGAGTGATAGTACATTAAAGTTTCTGTTGTACATTAGAGGGCCATTAGTCTGAGCTGCCCATTCTCAGGCCAGACTTGCTTGCAAAATTGATCTCCCATTTTTGTTCACAAAGGACATTGTCATGACGAATTGACCGTGAGGCAGCCAGGGGTTGCTTGCACTGCATTTCAGATCCCAGACCCCAGTCCTGCAGTTTGGACTACTCCCATCACTTAAAGATTAACGCCAACAACCCCAAGTGGTGCAGTGTTTGACATGGAAGAACCCCTGCAGCCAAGGATCCTGATTTGCTTTTCTTGCCTCTATGAATCAGGCAGATACTCACAAAATTTATGTCATTTTTGTCATATTTGCTGCTGTTTGAGCGATTCAGTTTCTTGAGTCATTTAATAGCCTTTGAGAGGGTCTGCCTTTCTGAAATGCAGCTTCTAATCCAGACTCTGACTAAGATGAGCTTGCTAGCAAAAGCTGGCCAGGTCTGACCCATTTCAGGCCCAGAAACTAGATGCAGGACTCAGATCTCATAGCTTTCATATCCTCTCTTGGCTCATGTGCATGCAACACCTGATCTCCATGTCCCCAGTGACCAGGACAGGAAATCTTGGGCTTAAACTGGGTATTGACAAGAAGAGCTGTGTCATCCCCAGCAAGAAGGGCTGGGGTGGAGAGGGAGGATGAGAGGTGAACCCTGGCTTACCCAAGCCATGTCGCATTGCAGAGAAAAGCCTATGAATGTCATGGGCTGGGAGTGCTGCTCCAGAAATGTCCTCTGCTTGAAACAGAAGGCCGCATTCTTCTCATGGCAACCCACTTGTCAGAAGTTGGCTCAGTTTTACTCTTAGTGGAACATTGATTTTATTTATTTAATGGAGCATCATTATACTGTTTCTCTGCTGGGTGCATACCCTGGTGATGAGTACCTTAGCAGGGTGATAGATAAAAAACACAGTCCATTCAGCTAGATGATAGATGGGGAGTAAATGTGGCGTATTAGTTCAGAGGAGACAAAATACAGTCAATTATTTTACATAAGGCAGTGTCTGGTACTCCCAGTCCCTGCCTGAGAACAACAGAACACATCAATAAAAACATTGAAGAGTTCAGAAGTGAGATTTTTGTTTTAATACTGACATATGGGCAAAGTGTTACATTTCAGCTGAAGAAATAAACATAAGCTAGCCTCAGGATCTCTACTGTTCAGCAAAAGACTAAGACCAGAGGTTATCTCAGAACATAGGTTTTGCCTTTGCATTGTCTCATATCACTGAGATTAGAAATGTCTCCACTTTTGAATCTCATCACCCCTTCCTAAAATTCAATGGATTCAGATAACATGAATTATTTGTAGCAGCAGTAGCATTTCTTTTTAAAAAGTAGCTATTTCGCAGACAAAACAAAGCATAAATTGAGCTGTTCCAGCAGGGATGAAAACACCATTTAAAGCTTCACTTCCTTGCCTTGGATCTCAGAGGCAGACTGTGTTTGATTAGATCCTTCCAGCGGGTGAGATCAGGTTGAGTGACAGCTCTCTGTGCCAGATCCACGCTGTGTTTATTTGCATTTTCCACCAGCTCTGAGAGTTTGCACTTTATCCTTCCTGAAATCCATCTAGGTGGGGAAGCATTAGAGAAATCATTTTAATTATAGTGCAGGGACTGAAGCTTTTCAGAGGTTCATTGTCTTTGTACCAACAGGTTTGATTAAAACCAGACATGGGTAAAGAGACCTAAGTCAGATGGAGAGCAGTGAGTACCGGGCAAAAGGGAGAGGGACAGCAAGTAGAGACCTCTGCAACCCCCTCACGTGTCCGTCTTCCTAGTGGTGGTAAGCCAGGACTGTGCAACAGTGAGAAAAGTGAGAACATTCCTGCTTAGAGCACAGCACGGATGTCAAGCTGATAATGCACATCGTAGTGGCACTTTGGACGTTGAGAATAATTAGCTAAAATCCAGGCTCCTCTCCTCTCCAGCCAGTGTTGGTACAAAGATGGGCTGTGGTAGGACTTGTTTTGATGAGGAGCTGCCTGCTGTGTGCTGCCAGGCAGAAGGACTGAAAGCAGGAGCTGATGAGTGCCTGGTCAGGGTCTGGCTTGGCAACGCAAGCACTGAGCTGCTGAAACAAGCCCGATACTGGCCTTGCCCAGTACTGCCAGGCCCCTTCCTGCTGCTGGCAGCTCCTGTGTAGGCACAGGCAGAGATAGCACTTGCATTGTTTGAGAAGAGAAAGCAGTGTGGTTGTTCAGACCTTAGATGGAATAAACTGGTTTAGTTCCAGTGGGTAAATGAAATTACGCTGACATTTACCAGCAAAAATCTCCATCTCATGCTTATAGCAAGACAGGATATTCTCTCTTTAAAACCTTCTCAGCTTTTGACTTTCAAATTCCACATAACTGTTTTCTTTTGATACACTTTTGTCTTATTAGATTCCCTTATGCACATCCAAACATCTTGATGGCTGGCTTTGTAGAATGCCTTCATCCCAAATCAAACATCAGCATGTGAGTGTGGGGTCCTCTGGTGGAGCACCGCACTGAATCATGATGAAGTCTTTTGGGTTTGCTGAGTCTCCTTCACCAAATTGCCCTCCCATTTGAAGGATATCAGTACTCTGTCTCCTAGACCTGCTTGAACAATACATTTTGAACTAAAGGTACTTGGATTTTTCGTTTTGAACTAAAAATACTTGAACTAAACACACATTTAGTTTTGCTTTCCAACAATTGCTGTCGGTCAGGGACATGTGTCCTGTGACTCTTCAAAACTGAAACCCATGTGTGGCTGCACCAAGCTCGTCTGCTTGGAAAGCAAGTCTTGGACTGTCTTTTTGGTGTTTTCTTTTTCACTTTTCCTAATGTATTCTGCTTAAAGGAGCCACGTGGTAATAATCAGCCAGTGCACTGCTGACCTTACGGAGTTCAGCAGCCATCTGTTTAAAACAGAGATGTAAAGAATTTCCAGAGAAGCCTTTTATTATTCTCTCGGTTCAAGAGAATAACAGGACTCCTCAGCATGGGCAGCAGCTTTACAGCACTAATAAATTCCACAGCTAAGAGGCAAACAATCAATTTATCACCCAAGGACGCTGCTTTCTCTGCGTGGAGCCCAGAGGTTTGCTGTGGTTTGGAACATGGGCCATTCGTTTCAGTTAGCTTCGTTTTCCCCGCTTTTTCCAACTTTGTAGTTGAAAAACAAAGTCTCCACTTCAGCTTCATTCTCTTTCTGCAGCCAAAATGTACATCTGCAGGCAGAGCAGAAAGCAGGGATTTTGTTTGAACAAGCTCAGGCCTGTTGAGAGTTTTGTCTGGTACAAACCAGGGCCTTGATCTGCGCTGAGATATTCTGGGAAGATCCTTGTTTTGGCATGGAGCCCTGTCACAACCATCCACCCTCCTTATGAGCTCCCCGCAGCCAGGCAGTGCCTGAGATGTATGATGGATGGGTAGAGTGTATCAACAGCATGGGAGACATTGGTATAAAATCTACATAAATAGTTGCATAACTTAGGAGATGACTTTGTTTTTTAGCAAAACAATTTCTCTCTTGGGTCTTTCTGTGTTTCCTTCAGAGTCCCATTAAATGTGAGTGTGGTCATCTCCTGGAGTGCTCCATAGCGTGATCCTCACAGGCTCCAACAGTAAAACAATGATAGGTAAAACAGTCAAGATATTAAATTGCAGATCCATAAAGCATATAAAAGGTTGAGCCTGAAGGTCTTTGAAAATGCAAGTAGAAAAGTGTTTCAATTCCAGCTGAGGTTGCACTCTGTGCTCTTCACGTTATCTTCAGACGGGGGGATGAAGAACAAAGTCTTCAAAAGCAGTGAGTTGGGTAGGTGGGAATTTCAGCGCATAATAGTCTTGAAAAGGATTTTCCCTTGCAGGGCTGAGTATTTCTCCTGAAATGCACTCCCAAAGCAGTCTCTGCTCCCACTAGGGCAAACCAGCCCATGTTCCCTGGGCAAACAAGTGTATGTCCTGGGCTTTCCAAGCACCCTCAGCTCTTGTGTGGGCAGCGAGACTGCATTAAGTCACAGGAAGGTCATCAAGGAAAGTGGTGAAAGCTTCAGGTTGGACTTTTGGAGGTTTTAAGTCCTGAAGGTAGAGAGTGCACATAGTGGAGCAGGGCTCAAGCCGAATTTCGTTACTGGAGGCAGAACCACTCTTGCTGCAGGTAGTTTCTATGGGCTTGTGTCTTGGGGATCTGCTGTCAGAGTGTGGACATGTTGCTGCTTTCCATATCTCTGGCGGAGCTAATCGAAAGCACAATGTGGTCTGAGAAATTCACTTTATGTCAGGGAATTAGTAGGAGAGAAAGCTGATAATCTGAAGCGTGCAAGTTCTCACCTCCTGCAGCACCTTGCAGTGAGTCCCTGGGAAATGGCTTTTGCTGAGCTGCCACATTTTGCTGAGATTTTATTTCTTATCAGAAATGTTCAGTGCTTGAAGCCTGTGGGAAGGGGCAGCTCTGAGCAGGGGAGAGCTGAGCAAGGGGACAGCAAACAAGCCCTTGGGGTCACACAAAAGCACGACTCAGGCCATGGTGGCCAGGACACAGTGGGGAAAATATCTGCACAAATAATCTCTATTTCAGGTTATGGCCAGTGCTTTTGCCAGAAATCAAGACTCAGACTAACAGAACAGTGACCCTGCACAGTTCAACCATTCCAACTCTTCACTTTTATTCTACTTTCCTGAAAATAAAGTTGAAGGCACATTAAATTTCCATGTGTGGAAGATGATTCCCTCAAATGTTCTCATTAGAACCAGGTCCAGGCAGAGAGATGAGTAATGGGGAATTAGAAATTAAAAGCCTGAATGTGAATGTGAAGAGGGGTCTGAAAGTCATTTTCTCAAATACGTAGAAAAAAATCCACAAACCAGATTTCCTTTTAGGAAGCTGAGAATTACTGACCTATTCCTACAGAGTACACTGTAGTACACTTAATACAGAGGTATTAAGTATGAAAATTCACAGGGATAGGGCAGGACTTTCAGAGTCACTAAGTGGAATAGGTGTAATAAAGTTACATTTATATCAGGGTTTTGACTGATCAGCACTAAAAGCTTTCTTCCCCCCCCCCCGTCTTTTGTGGGTGGCTGATTGTATTTGGGTGGCCAGGCTCCAGCTCCATCAGACCATTGTCTGGCAGGTGAGAAGGTTCAAAACACAGTTAAAATGGATGAGTGGTTTGGGTTTAAGGACAACTTAAAATTTCTGAAGCGTGTTTCTCTTCTAAGATTCTGTTTTCATCCATTGAGTTTATCTCCATAAACTGCAAGGAAAATGGGAAAGGAATGTCCTTGTCTAGAAGGAACTTTCTCAACTATGTAACTGAGCAATATTCATAATACATCTCACTCTCTTCTTCTTATTAGCGAATTTGACATTAACAGATCTTCTGCAAAGCTATTACTCGTTGGTAAATATTTACTCAGCAGCATCAGGCCATCAGCTTATTTCTTTTCTTATGAATCATTCCTTCATAATATCTTTCTCTTATTGTTCTTGATGCCTGATCGGTCTCTTGAATTGCCAACACTTGTCTCTGCTCCCTCATTGCTGGCTAACACCAGCAGCTGACTTTCTGACATGTTGTTTTGGGTGATAAAATGTTGGTTCTAGAAGCCCTGAATGGAGGAATGTTGAACATTTTCCATAACTTCCAGATACTTAGGACAAAACATTAATAATATCATGTTCCCTGAGGAAAGAGCAAACAAAAAGTGATGTGTTTCCAGACCAGCTTATTCTCTCAGACGCTTTAAAGCAGGGGCAATGAGAAGTGAAGTTATTCAACAAATGCCTGGCCCAAAGTAACTGTAATTCTTTGGAGGAATGTGGGTGTATCTCTGCTGGGAAAGTGAAAATTAAAGACGAGTACATTGGGTTCAGCAAAGCTCAAGGTCTCTTTTCAAACCACAAGTCATGCGTGTATGAGCTAACCCAGAATGATGCTATTTGTCTCTCTCTCTCTGCGAATGACACCCAGTCAGCCTGGTCTTGAGTTGGCACTGCAGCTTGGAAAGCTACTGTAGGTGGCAGAGGAGAAGGACCGAGTCTTGGATGCTCTGGGGAGGCCAGTGTGCTCCTTTAGGATTTACAAAGCCATCTGGATGACACTGGGCTGTGTTCCTAGTGGGAGCGGTGAGAGGCAAGACAGCCTTGATACCAAGCCTGTCTCTGTAATTCACTGGCCCTACATATTCCCCAGAATATATCTTATTTATCATACCTGGCTCATTTCCTAGGACTGAGTCCAAAACTGCTTCTGATCTTGACTGCTGGAGTATGAGTGTAAATACAGTGTGCTGTACGCCCTCCAAGAGCAGTCCCCAGCGAGTCCACTGTGGTTATCCCAGACAACAGCCTGATATTAAGATTCCCCATTATCAATGGTTTGGCTTTTAGAAAGCTGTCTACATAAACAAAGCCTATTTAGCTTGTGATTGTGCCCTGGAGAGGGTCCTACAATCACTTTCATTTCCCCTTTTGCCTTCAAAGGGAAGAGTCTGTCCTAGGAATGAGCAGAGACCGAGAGCCATGGCTTGGATCCACTCCCAGCTGAGTTATTGCATTGCTGTGTGGCCCTGGCCATGGTGGGGTGGTTTTGTTTTTGACTTCATTCAACTAAATAATGAATATTCTGTCTGGAAGTGGTTGAGAGAGACTCTTGTCCCTGCAGAAAGCTGCTCCAGAACAACTCTTTAAGTGTTAATGCAAGGGAAATGAAAATGTAATTGAGAACAAAACAGAAAAAACCCTGAAGTGCTTAAGAAAAGGTTGTACATGATTTTGGGATCTTTGCTTGTTGATGAAGGGCACTGATACTTTTAGGTAACCATCCATAAGATAAATTATGCTTCTTTTCGTTCCGTGAAAATTACATTTGCTCAGCACCTTCCATGCAAATTGTTGCTTCCAAGCTGTGCAAAGATTTAAGTGAAAAAACATCTTGGTAGAAAAGTTTTCTTTCTTCTTAAGTAGATCAGTCTCTCCCATTGCTTTAGAGTACATAAGTGATATCTTAAAATGTTTGTATCCTTTGTAACGCTAAAGGCTTTTTCTCTGAATGAAGAGCATCCTCTGCCCTGCCAGGTCCATGTCCCGGAGTCCATTCGTTTGCTGTTTTGACCGGCAGCAGCAGCTCTCTGAGGCACCTTCACTCTTTCAGCAGAGACGAGCTTCTGGCCAGAGTGTCGTCAGATTCTCTCAGGTGAATGGACATGTGCCAAATGAGCACTTTTCCCTGGGCCATAACTATACACAAGGACCCATTTTGTGGCAAGAGGCTTTGGCAGATTTTCCCCTCATTAGCAGTGAATTTGCTCTTTCCCTTTAGTCAGATTTGTTTAATCTTCTTAATATTGCTTTTGTAATGGGCTGAGCAACGTAATGGACATCCATGGAGAATATGCTGTCTCACATGTGCCCCCTCCATTTCCAAACCTGGGATGTGATGCTGCCCACCTCCCAGTGAGTGGTCTGCTTTGCCTCCTCAGTCTTCACACCAGTGTCTCTTCAGGAAACCCTAGTTACTTGTACAGTCCATTTATTCCTCTCCTAAGGCAAAAGGGAGATTTTGGAGCTGTAAGCTTGTTTGTAGGGCTCCCACAGAGAAAGGAGATTTCCTGCTTCATGTCTTCTTCAGATCACATGCAGTTATCATCTCCAGGCAGTGCCACTTTCCCTCATCAGCTCTTAACACTCATGTTTTCCAACACCTGAAGTCACAGAAAGCTTTCTGCATGACAGACCTGCCAACCTGGATGCTGTTGCTGGCTTTAAGCTACTCTGAAATGAGTGAAGTAGAACTCAGAGTCTGGAGACAGCCCCCGATGCTTGGGCATACCCTGTTCTGTAAAGACAATGTGCAGCCTCCCAGATCTGCAGATTTCAAAGCGGAGAACATCACTGTTCATCTTTTGACTTAGGGCTTGTTTGCATGGGAAAATTAACCTGAACTAACTGAAGGCTGGAGTTTCAAGTGGATTCATTCAGCTGCATTTGCTTCTGTGTGGACAGAATAACAGAGACCTTTCCTTGGTTTGTTGTGATTTGTTGCCAAAATGCATTAAGATAAACCAAATTAAGTCTATTTGTGTTCCAGAGAAATTTTTGATATATGCTCGTTCATTTTAAGAGTTCTTAGATTAATTTTGGAGAAAATGGCCCTGTGTAGACACATCAACATTCCTAATAATATTTGGCTGAAATGCAGGATAATAGCCAAGTCCAGGCTCAAATAAAAGGGATGAATCATCTCTAAATCACACGTTATGATGTAATAGGATAAATGACAATTGTTTTGCTGGGGAGAAGCTGCCATGCACAGAGCAGGGTCATTGCAGCCTGTGAAGCGAGAGCAGAGCAAGTCTGGGAGTCATGCCCTGTACATCTATGGAGGGTAATGCACCTGGTTTCCACAGCATGCATAGCCACAGCTCTTCCAACCATGCTGGGGGTGCTCCCCTGCAAATGCAACAGTGGCAGCATTTGATGCATTAGGATTTGTCTCTTGGAATTCCAAGAATGAGCACAGGATTGAATCAGGCCTGACCCAGGGACATGTGAGGGCATCCTGTCATCCACTGGACTCTAAGGTGTCCGTGTCCCGCTGCTGGGCTGCAGTCTGTGTCCTGCATCACAGTTTTCGCATACACACATGCACAGAGCTCTAGGGACTGTGAGCTCTCCATGGAAGCCAAAATGTTGCTTCGTATTTGCATTAGGATATCCCAGAATAGGAGGTGATTCCCTCTGCTAGCAAAAAAATTAAAGACCAGAATGCCTACCCATTACTTAAACACACAGAGGCCCATTTTCACAGCCTTCATCTCCGTGCCCCTGGAAAAACCATTCCTTGGAAATTACAGTAATTGTTTTATTCTCTTTGATCTCCACTAATAAAGCTCTGGACTATCACTCGGCAGGAGCTGTTTCTCTTAGTTAGGATCTTTCCAACAGTACTTACATTAGGAAGGCTCTGGGGAAATTTCAGTAAATGCACTTGAGAAGAGCTCTGCAAAACTGCTTAGACTTTACTGCAAAAATATTTCCCCACATTTGCTCAGAACACTTCTCGGCTTGTTTGTTTTTCTTTTTATTGCAGTTGTTGGACTGAGGGGATACCTGGAGAACAGAGTTGGGACTCCTTGTTGAAAGATCTTAGAGCAGCTGGAGAACAGAGCAAAAGGTTTCTGAATCCCAGACAAGCCACTGTAGAAAGCACGCTTGAGAATAAGTGTCTTGCTGTTAACATTTTACTTTCCAAATGATATCTAAGGAAGAAGGAGGTCCAGCATGGACCCCTTCATGTCTGAAGTGCAGCATCTTGGGTCTCCAGCCCCTTGGACAGCAAGTGGCTTGTTTAGGGATTTGGGAAGTTGTTAGATTTAGTTTTTAGTCTTCAGGCTTTAAACACCACAGCCAGAGCTGAAGCTTGGCTCAGCAGGTCAGTCCAGCAAGCCAAATATCAGCCCATGTCCAGCACACACAGGAGTAGCCATCATGTTGTGCATGGACATGTTCTCACGTATGGCTCTTAGTGAGCCTACAACACAGCTCAGCTGCAGACAACTTCTGTTGAGCTGATAAATATATAAGTGGTTGTAAGAAGGTGCAAAGAGAAAGTCAAATTTCAGAGCCACTGGGCACAGATGGAAGAAACCTGACCCTTTGAAAGCAATTCTGCATTTCAGACAAAGCAGCCAGTGAGTTCTCTAACCTGTGCCATCTTTTAGCCACTTGCTATTGTAAGATGAAGGTGGCAGTGGCCTTCACACCAACTCAGAAGGGTACAGAGCACATCCATGTATCTGCCTGTTGCATAACTGGCAATTGAAAGCAAGAGTAACTGCACCAGCTGGTCTCTTTTCTTCCTTTTTTCCCCTCCAGCTAGAAACTGTAAAAGCTCAAAAGACCAACTGCACAGCCTTAAAGTTGTATTTACTGTCTGGCATCCTGCCACAGGCGATGGGAGTACTGTTGTATAGATGTTGCTGTCTGACTGCTGCTTTATACTTAATGATCTCATGGATGTGCAGAGGGAAGGAATATAATCCCCAGTGAAGACAGGGGGCAGGGTTGGTAAGGAATAAAAAGCCTCTTCCTCTAAACTGGCTTTGATCTTTCTAGGGGCTGCAAATGAAGAACAGTAATTAAAGCTTAACTGGAAGAGATCAGAAAGCTTTTAAAATTAATAAAACTCATAAGAGGCATCAAGGATGATCATATGTAAAGACTCTTCAGGCTGCAGTGTCAGTCAGCACCCGCAGCGAGTGTCTGCTCTCTCTGCGTAGGTGTGCTGGGGTCCACATGGGAGCAGGAGCTGTGTTCACAGCTGTGTTGTGGATGACACCTTCCTCATCTCCTGCTGGGTTTTCCCTGCTGTGTGGTCCAGTTCTTTGGACCACACCAGGATTATTCCGTATTTACTCTGCTTTGCCAGTCTTACCTACAGGGATGCCATCAGGTATTGCACAGGAGCTTTAATCCTAGCTCAGTCCTTCACTTGGAGCTTGCATTTTATTTTCCATGACTCAGTTATTTAATGATGAGACCATCAGCCCTTGACATGCCACCAGAAGCTGATGCTTCATGTGAGGAACCTCAAACTGTATCACCCTTGCCTGTTCTTTAAAAGGCAAGGACACCCTGTGTATTATTTGTAAAGATAATAGCTTAACTGTTCAGTTTGGCATTTTAATTTAGCTGTTGTCCTTTTATACATCCTTTTTAGATCAGGAAAGAGGCAGACAGACTGGCCACTACCTCGGAGACTTTGAAAGCAGTCATTTTACAGCAGTATTGCTCCATGATGGTTATATTTTCCCATAGGAAATAAACATTTTTGGCCTGGTCCTGAGGAGAATGCAATGCTCACCCCAGAACTGCTGCTGCAGGAGCACCATCTCAGAGGAGGACACAGAGACCATCACAGCTACAAGCATCTGACAGGTCTGTGCCAAATGTCTGTGTTGTACGTGTTCTTTATCCTACTGTTTGAAGGATTGTGAAACACAGAAATGGCTGATGTGTGCGGGCACCAAGAGTATATCTCCTGAAGGGAGTGAGCAGAAGGTTCACTGTGGGCATCATAGAACTTGCCCAGGAGGAAGACATCTTCCTGCAATGCTCCAATGTCTGCTTAGGGCACTGCCATGTGTGGAGCAAAGTTCTAGGTTGGCATTTCTTTCCAGTTCAAAGAAGTCTTAGACAGAATTAGTGCACTTTTTCTCACCTCTGGATGTGACCTTTGGGAGAGTGGAGAGAGGGAGATGTTCCATCTCTTCCCTTTTAACCACCTGGATGCCAATAAGGGCTTAAATTCCTGGGTAAAGTGATGTGCAGGGAAAAGATAGAGAGCAGCCACTGCCTCTGGCTGTGCGCCATCAAGAGAGGAGGATGGGGAAGGAGAAGATGTTTCAATCCTTGACTTCCATTTATTCCAACACTAAAAGAAAATGAATTTTTAAATCCTGATGCTGAAGCACCTATTAAAAAGAGCGCTAACCTATGGCAGGAGAGTGTCTGGGAGGGAGGGCTTTTTGGCTTAACCCAGCTGATTTTTTTAAACTTATTTTTTACAGCAAATGAACTCTCACTGCCTTTCTTTAAAGGTCACCTCTTTTTTTATAACTACTATGCTGGGAAAATGCTTTTAAGTTTCATCTACTTTGTGTGTGTGCATTTTCTAAGCCCTAGGTTTGTTTCTTATTGGAAAATGGTCTTGGATCATCTCTGAGATGGAAATTTTATTTTATTTATCAGGTATATGAGAGAAAGAAGAGAGGTTTTTAACTCTTTAGGCTCTTTTTTACTGGATGCTCAGCTCCATGTCTCAAACCATGAACCACATCCTACCTGCTGCACTTTTTCTTCCCCTTTTGCTCTGCCAGCATCTCTTCAGAGGCCCTGAAGCTCCTGTCTCCTGTCTCATCTCCTTGTGGTTCTGCCTTTATGCACAGAAGGGGTTAAATGGGTTCTCTCAATTCTTAGCTTCATTGCTAGGGAGCTGTTATTTTATCCTCTTGGCACTGGCACTGGCACCAGCTCCAGAAGGAGAGGCTGTTTTTCTTGCAGCACCCTCCATGGTTGGTGAGGTGTGGAGTTATCCAGGAGACACAGGCATTTTCACATCCTGTGCTCCTCACTATCATCAGTCCATAGCCTGTGGATGTTCACAGGCAAAGTAAAGCTTTAAAAACATTTATAACAAACCCAAAATGTTATTACATCCTTCTACACCTCAGTATCTCTCTTTAGCAAAAGCTCTGTGCTGATAAATAAGACCGAGAGGGGAACCATCACATAGGGATATACCAACTCAGTTTGCAACCTTAAATCCTCATTAGGGATTAGCTCTCTGGCCAAAATCTGTTGCCTGAGGATTACTAATAGATTTTCAAAGAGTGCCAAAGTGAGCTCATGGTATCCAGACTTTGTCCATACTCAGCCAGACCCTAAAGCACTAATTCTCATAAGTTTTAGGTGGCTCGGGAAGAAGCACAGCAGGACAAAAACCCACGTTAGGTACATCAGTTATTACCTTCCTCCCAGGAGACCACCAGTTGCTCCAAACCTATTTGCTTCATGCCCCAAACCGTTTGCTTTGCCAGAGCTCATGGCTAGACTAAGCACTGCTCCTCTCTGTTGCTCCTGATGTTCCTCATGCTCTTGTACACAGTTCCCTTACAAAAAGCTGTAACAAGTGGTTTCTTGAACATATTAGACAGATTCTATTTTTATTGATTACAAAGCAGCACCAGCTCAAAATGACATTCCCATGACACTCCATATGCAAGGATGTCACAGAACTCTTTTATATTTATCAAACTTCCATCTTCAAACTAGTTAGATTTTCGCTTCATTAATCACATTAAAAGGCTGTTCCTGAACCTCATGCCTCTGGTGGTTAGAATTACACTTCTGATTTCCATCTTAATCTATTCATAGCCACTTGATTCATGTTGCCACATAGTAATATTAGAAATATAATGATATTTAACAATCTGTCTAGTCTGAGGACAGAGAAACATGTCAATAGTCCCTACTTTTATTGTTAACTAAGCATAGGATGGTGTATCTTACTAATAGGAATATGCATTTCAAGAGCAGATGAGCAGCCAGTATAGACATTAATTTACTGAAATCAGAACACTTCTCAGTCAGAAAGGTCAGATACAATGGAAACAGAAAATGCTGCAGTTAAACCCTGCTCTTGCAAAGGGTCTGGCTTTCCTGTGCAGGCTCAGCTCCCTCTGCTAGCTGGTGAGTGCTCATGCTCTGGACCCTGTCCTAGCTGAGCCAACCCTCCTGCCATCTCTTTAGGGCACTCACATCTCCAAGGCACTAAATTTCCATCCTATCACTATTCTCCATAGCATAAGTAGAAATCAGAAAACCACTGACTTCATCCAGAGGTATGTGGACTTTTATCTGCTGAGTGGTTTGCCCTTTAGAGGCCAGAAGTTGCCATAGGTGAGGCTTCTCTATTCATAAGCTTATAAGACTAGATCAGCTCTTATGCTCTGGATTATACAGCAGTAAAATCCATCTTCCTTGAAGAATAAAGTTAAAGCCAAATTCCAGATGCACAGAAACTCCTTCTGTTGTCTCCAGGGGATACTGTCCGTCCCAGCAACTTGAAAGCTCCAGACAACTCCTTAAACCAGGGTTGGATCTGGCACAGCTCACGGTGCTGGAGCAAGCTAAAAGCTGGTGTTGGCCAGCAAGAGCTGGTGATGGCCAGGCACCAGTTCATCTGGATGTGGAAGAAAACAACACTGCATGCATGTTCCCTTTGTTGTGATGATGTACCAGCAAAGACTTCCTCTGTGCATGGTTTCTGAGGCGTATAATCTTCACAGAGAAATGCTGGCCCTTTGCCCTGCTGGCAGTAACCATCTCTGCTGCTCGGCCACATCTCCTTGCAGAGCTGAGTGAGGCAGCTCAGCTGCAGCTTGGGACATGCATATGCTCGTGGGCCATTTCAGAGGCCTGGGAGCACACAAAGGCTGAAGGTAGCTGCTGTGCTGCATGGCCATGCTGCAGGTTGCAGAGGCTTAGGAAACCCATTTTGCTACCAAGGATTGCCTTAGCACCATCACTGGTAATTAAAACCTTTCCTGCTTTGTGCCCTGCCTGGCCAGCTGGCTTCCCACCTGCCCAGTGTTTCGTTGACATGTTTGTCATGGTCATGGGCTCTCCACCTCCCTTTTGGCTTGTCATCCTTGCACGGGAGGAAGCAAGGAATGGCTGCCAGGGCCAAGAGTGCAGCCAGCACCCAGGCAGGCACTGGGAAGTGTTTGAGGCCAGGTTGGACAGAGCTTGGAGCAACCTGGTCTGGTGGAATGTGTCCCTGCCTGTGGCAGAAGGTTGGAACTGGATGAGCTTTAAGGTCTCTTCCAACCCAAACCGTTCTGTGATTCTGTGACTGCTACCCACCTCCCTACAGGCCCCTGGGTGGGAGCACTGCCTCCCAGGGTGTCACACACAGCCATGAGCTTACCTCCGTTGCTGGCAATACCATCATCAGCTGCCCTGCAGGCATGAGTCTTAAAGCTGACACTCTACTGCTGGAGAGGCTGGAGCATCTCTCACACACTCCATTTTTCCCCTTGGCACGTGAACACATCTATAATGTGGCAGATGCTTCTTTTTCATTTAGTAACAAGAGACATCAAAAGATGTATACTGATTTATTGCCTACAGAACTGCACTCTGTAATATGTCTATAAGATCCCACTGAATCTGCAAAGTCAATAGCTCCATCCCTTTGCAATGAGCAAATGGAGAAGGCTGTGAATTAATAACTTCCCTGACCTCCAGCTTCTGCGAGGCCAAACAGCTGATGGAGGAGTTAATCCAATAATCCATTTTGGCATCTGGAAGGTAGCACGCTCCCTGCCAGAGCCTGGACCTACAAACAAAGTGAAGGAAAAGCAAACACATCTTAGGGCTGGGGAGGGGAAACAGGGAGGAGAAGGAAGGATCTCATCCTGACAAAGGCAGTGGCTGCACTGTACCTTCATCTTGCAGAAGAGGTTTGGGGCTTTATTTGTTCCACCAGGTTGAGCTGGACTTTGAGCACTTACTGCTGGGCTTTTTTGCATTGCTCAGTGCTCAGGGGAATCAAAAGCTTCTTCCAGTGACCTCAGCCTGAATTGCTTCTCACCTCCACAGAGAAGTCCCTGACCTTTTCCTGCCAGCTCAGCCAAGGGCACTGCGAAGCTCCTGCCTGTCCTGGGACCTCTGAGTGCTTCAGCAGCCGTAACTGCTACTGATCTGGGAATTCTGCTTTCATATACTATTCCCAGTCACTTTATTACTTTACCAGACTTTAACTAATCAGCTTGAAATTTCCTCTGTAACATTTAAATTAAAAGGGGAAAAAAAAAAAGAAAAGGAATGAAACTGGCTAAAATATTCCAGCTGCTCAAAAAAGAGGTATTAAAAACCATATTATATTCCTCATCTTAAAAGCAAGGCAATGGTTTGCTTTGCTGTGAACATCAGTAGTCCAGCTTTCAAATCCCAATGTGAGGCTCAGAGTGGGTCAGGGATTTGCTGTTCTCCCCCTGTGGAATTTGCCTGTGGTGGGACAGAGCTGCTCCAGACAGCTCTGCACCAGCTCTGCACTGGGCTGGAGCACTCCCCACAGGCACCAGTCGATTTTGCACTTTCAGGTTGAACCCTTGAGACAAGCCATTGTTGGGACATGAACAGACACCACTCCCACTGAATGTTGAGCATTTGGAGGGGGGAAAACCACCTTTTAGGGTGACTTCCAGCGGGATGCTTGGAAAACTGCTATCACCTCTTCATAAAGCCATCTGCTGAGCATGCACAAACGTGAGCTGGTGAATTCAATAGCATAGAGTTTATTAAAAAAACAGTCAGGATACGGAGTTGGACAGAAGCTGTTGACAGTGTGCTTGAACTTGTGGTAGCAGACAGAGCCCAGGTGCTTTAAGAAAGAGCCACTCCATGTGCTGGGCATCAACTTGTATTATTTTCCTTTTGGATTACAGGACTCTTTAATTAAGGGGCCTGACTTTATAATCCAATCAATCTTGATAAATAACAGCTCTCTTTTGCAGATAAAGTTGTAGGCTTATCGCTGCCCAGCAGCCATATTTTAAAGCCCATCCATAAAATTACACAGCAAATCAGCTTACGTAGCATCTGGTGGCCACAGCTGCGTGCAGGCAGGACTCTGCACTTGTGCTGACAGCGGCATTTCAGTGACACTGTGCCATCCTGGGCATCAGTCCTACTCAGCTCTTCTCCTGTTACCACCATAACTAACTTACTGCTTCTTCAGCAGCATTATACTCTCTACTTCTCATCCCATTCATCCCACGAAACCTCTAGCTCGGAGTTCCTGTAATTATAAGGGGGAGGTTACAGTGCTGGAGGATGAAATGTAATGCAATTCATTAATAGACTATTTTACCCATTCTTCACCTTTCCCTGCCAAGTAGCTTTGTTCTAAGAAGGGTATCAAACAACCATTTAATTGTGATTTAATTGAACAGTTACTTGTGCCACACAGACATCAAGGAATGGTTATGGGAATGCTTTTCAGGAATCAGTAGAAAATGCTGCATGCTGGATTAGCATCCGTATCTGTAAGGGATGAATCGTGCCAGTCCTACCTTTAATGCCTGGTTGTTTGCATGAGCCTTGCTGCACTCAGCATCCCTCCAGTGTATGGAAAAGCGTAGAGCCCACTGTAAAAGCAGCACAGGGGGATGCAACACTCTTTCGTTGGGCTGGTTGGGATTAGTGGGTGCAGAGGAGACCTCAGGGTGACAGCCACAGTGCTGAGAGGGGCTCTGAAACAGTTTACCCAACATAATACAAAGAGTTTAGAACTGATCCCAGACCTTGTTTCCACTCTGGTATACGAGCAAGCCTTGCAAAACGGCATTTTCTCAGACAGCTTTGTACTGAATTTGGCAGAGATGAAAGCAAAGGCAAGCCTTGGTAGGCAGCAAGTCTCAAACACGGCAGGGCAGAGTATGAAACTCCAGAGGGTATCCACAGAGCTGAGACCAAAAGGTTGTGCAGACCTATCTAAGCTAAACTTGTCCCCAGATAGCATCACTGTCTCATTTCCTGGAATGTATTACCTCGACAGAGCTGACAAAAATAAACAGAGGAAAAAAGACCATTCTGCAATGCAATCAAACTTCAATTGCCCATTTTGTTTTTGTCCTTTAAAAGAGCTAATAACGTTGTAATTGGTGGAGATATCTCCAGGGCTCCATAAGTGAAAGCGAGAAAGAGATTTTCTCACCATGAACTAGAGGCATATTTTTCAGAAGAAGAGGGATGTATTACCCAAATGAAAGGAATCCATATAGATTTCTACCTGATGTCCAAACCAGTGACACCTTGTTCCTTTGAGTGCTGGCTTTTAATGGCTCAGAGATTTTGGTGCGATTGTGGTAGAAAAGCATCCCTGGAATTTGCTTCTTGGCAAGGAAGGATTCAAATTCACTGGAGTGGATTGAGGGTCAAAAATACATGGAGAAAAGTTCTCCATTATGGCTATTCTTGCTTACCTGATACCTAGCTTTGCTCCATGACACACTGAGGTGGCAAGCACTGCTTTTATGTCCTGAACTGGTTAAGCGAAGAGCCAACAAAGTGGAGAACATTCAATTAAAGCACATTTTGTCTTAAACTAACATCCCTGAGCTTCCTTGTCTCCCTACTCCTGCCATCAAATTTGCATTCAAATTCACCTGGTTTAATACGCAGCCATGGTCACCCAAAAGGCACACACAATTTTGGGCCACAGACAGCAAAATTGCTTTCATCTTTCACAAAATGCCCAAAGCAGGCTCTGATTATTCTGTTCATTTTCAAATACCTGTTCAAGGCCAGGTTGGATGTGGCTTGGGGCAGCCTGCTCCAGTGGAAGGTGTCCCTGCCCATGGCAGGGGGTTGGAACTGGCTGAGCTTTAAGGGCCTTTCCAACCCAAACCAGTCTGGGATTCTCTGATTTACCGAGCCTTATTTTATTTGTCACATCTCTAGCTGGGGTCCAGAAGATACAGAAACACCCTGAAAACAGGTCCTAAAGTATTGTTTGGAGTCTGACTTGGTGCTTCTTTTGCCTCTTCCAGACTGAAGGACTCCAAAGGGGATAGACAACATGCTGTAGATGCACGGGCAGTGATCTGAGAGTCAAAGGTAGGTGCCCAAAACCCAGCAAGTGTCTCTGAATCTTATGCTCTGAAGCATTTCATAAAATCACAGCCTAAAACTGAGGAGTGCTTGAATAATCCACCACCACCAGATGTGTCTGTAAAGCCTTTCTGGAGCTTACTTTGCCTGGTTGTGGGTGTCCTTGCGGGCAGCGTTGTATCGGCTCCCTGGGAGCACCACTGGGCTCGCACTGCTGGGTGCTGGTGTCCATAGCACCCATGTCCACGCTGCCGAGTCAAAGAGGATGCTCTGATCTTTCAAGGAGAAAAGTGGGAATGCAAAGGGCCAACTCCCCAGGCTCTGCCTGAGCCCTCCTCCGCTTCATAGCCTTGCAGTGCCAGGAAGACCCCAAGGTATGTGGGAAGCAAAACCTTGTAGTCCTCCATTATCTTGCACATTATTTAGAGCCTGACCTATTCTTCTTTTATACTTTGCAAAGTAGTTCTGGTTTCTTCAGGATCCAGGAGTTATAGAACAGTAAATGATCATTTTATTGGAGTGATTGGCTTCATCCTAAAGCTGGTTCTTAAAGAACAGACTTTAAAGGTTAAACTGTGTGCCAGGGTAATATGCACATCACATTCCCGGGTGCCTTTTGTGTTTAAAAATCGACAGTTTCCATCTGTGAAAAGAGGAATTTAGACATGCTGATACTCTGACATTTAAATGTGAGCAGTGGAAGATAAACACAGTCTGACATAAAGTAAATGGGGTGATACTAGGAAAAGTTAAATTTCAGATATTCATGCTCCTGCCTTTACCTGCTGGGGTCCTGTGCACCAGAAGGAGCATTTACCACACATTAACGCTGTCATGTCTCTGTGTTTGTTATAGCAGGTCAGCACAACACGCCCATGAATGGGATCTCTTCAAAGCTAAGCGCCAGTGTTGGCTGTAAACTTGTTCAAAACCTTTTCTGGCTAGTGCTGAGTCTCACATCCCTACTTCGCAGCTAGCAAAGCTGGGCTCAGAAGGGTTTTAGGGTGCGGGTCTCTGCCACAATGTCAGATGCAAATGATTTTACAGCAGTTCTGGATGTGTGAAGAGTAAGAAAAGCAACTTTTAGCATGAAGCCTCCCTGCTGCAGCCTGTGCCTGTACCTGCAACCCAAGCAGGTCTCTGTCTAGACAGCCACCCGCTGTGCCATTCCGCAGCCACATGAAAGCACAGGTCTGAGTGGTGGTGAATAAATACCTTAGTGGGCTGGCTGCGATGGGCTGTGGGTCTGTAGCAACATGTAGTATCTTTTCTCCTTAAAAGGAGGAGATTCCTTCACTAGCTGTAGCAATTTCTGTAGTAAATAGTATTATTACAAGTGAAATGAAAGCACAAAAAGATGTAAAATGTGCTAAAAATGGTAAGCTAGTGAAAGCAAACAGCGGTAAGGGGATAGCTAGATATAACATCCCTTTGGAGCAGTCCCAGTCTGGTCTGATTTTGCTGTTGGCACCGTCTTGTACCCAGGTGACCTTGAACTAACCCAGGAAAATTTGCATTTATGAATAGTTTTTAAATCTCTGGCCCCTTCAGTAATGTGATCCAACCCAACTGTGTGTGATGGAACGGCTCTTTGGGATCTTGTCTGCCTCTTTCTCTCTTGGAAGCCCCAGGGGTGTGTAGGCAGGTTAAATAATGCAAGAGCAGCTGTAATTATGCTGAGCAGTTTCTCTGGAAACATTTGAAAAATATTAGCACATCATTCTTTTTTTTTTTGTTCTTTTTTTCCCCCTTTTTTTCCCCTGGCCTCTGTTGTAAGGGGTCTAGAACAAATCTAATGGCTTAATGAGATCTATGACAACATACGACATGAAAGAGATTTTTAGTGACTTCCATTACCCAAACTCAATCAGAGGAGAGTAATCAGCAAGTCCCCCTGTTGTGAGAAGTGCAGAATGAAACCTTGGTGAGATGGGAGAGATGCAAAAAAAGAGAGACTCATTGCAAAGCAAGCACAGAGATACTTACTGTACCCCTCAAAGCACCCAATGAATGCTGAACATATAGATTACAACATTAGCCACCTCTCTCTGCTGTTTCCTTGCTCTAAAATGGGTAATTGAACATAAATAGTCTCTTAATCTATGCTTTAAAAAACCCATTAATTTAATGTTAGATAAAGCCCTTTGTTTCCTTGTTTCTTGGGAGGGGGAGGAAAGGAAATCTCTGAAATCTAGGTCTGCTGTGGCTGGTTCACACACATAGCACTGGTCCCAGGCTTAGTGCTTAGAAGGGAGGCAGGATGTCAGGTTGTTACATACTCCTCCATTTCTGATTTGCCAGTGTTACCCACTGCAAGCTGCTGAAACCAAAATACATGATTATTTATCCAGCTGAAGCCCAGAGCATGCATGTTGCAGCAGGTGAGGGCACAGAAAATCCCCACAGATCTGCAGAAAGTGGTGTCACAAGAGTTTCTATGGCAGGTCTGGGAACAAACAGCTCAAGAGAGCGAGCTTTAACCCACCTCTGTCCCTCTTCCTCCTCTGCTCTTGTGTCTCTAGTGCCTATTTGTGTAACACGCACTGAATAGTAACAGGTAGGCAAACCATGTGTCTAAAGCTCAGGTGATCTCTTAAGACAACTATTTCCAGCAATTCTGAGGCTCCACTGGCTGGCCAGTTTTGCCCACCACTTCTCCAGTGTCTCGTCACAAAGGGCTTCTCACACCAAATGCCCTGCAAGGGGCTTTCAGGAGCTGGTTTCCACCCTCTTTCCTCTCCTCTCCCCCTGGGCTGTACCCAGCCTGCAGGATGATGCTCTCCTAGCCTGTATCACTTTTAACTCTTCTCTGTTAGGCAAGGCAGGGATGGAGGCTCTGTGTCCCCCTCTTTCCAGTCCATCCCCACTGGTGTGGGTGAGCTGCCTGCCAGCTCCTGTGCTCCAGTTTCATCTCTGCTCTCACAGATGTACAGCAGCCTCTTGGACAGTACACGTCTCACCACTGCTTGCTTTGGCTGTGTGGTGGCTGGAGCTGTGCCTGCTCAGCTGCATGCTGGCCTCACATCCACAGCTCTGGTGTAGCAGGCAGCCTGCCTGGCCTGGCCTGTTTTAGCTATTGTTAACTTGTGTCCTCTCCATCTTTCCTCTGCTGGATTTTAGCAGACAACCCCCTCTGGAGAAGCAGCCAGCACTTGGCTTTCGTGCCCATCAATCCTTCTAGCAGGTTTCTCTCTTGTCTTGTGCTGTGATCCCACAATACAAGAAGGATTCCCATTTGTTCCCTGTCTTTACATCTGACTCAGATGTCTCAGTTCCTTGTGAGCACCTGGGGAAGGCATCAAACCCACACCTCCTCCAGACCCATTTCAAAGCTGTTGTCTGCTATGGAACACGATTCCAAAACCAGGGCTGCTCCTAGGGTTCTGGGAATGCCAGTATCAGGCTGTATTACAGGGGAAGGACTGAGGGATTGGTCAGTGCATGGGGACACATGACAGCCAGAGGCCCTATTTGCATGGCAGGCAAGAGCACACATTACCAGGCTGCAGGATCTGTGCTTTCCCACAGCAGCCATCGCAGGCAGCCCCTTGTCCTGCATCCTCTGCTTCACCAGGCACTGAAAGAGCTGTGCAAGAGCAAGAGAGAGGCACCATGACAGGGAATGGTACTGGGGGACATCCCCTCCTCTGCCTGTGAAACTGGAGAGCAGAGTTTCAGTAGGATGGTTTCATTCATTAGACACTCTGAACTGTTTTCTGTCTGCTCATAGCCGGACACTGATGCTTGGCCAGACAGTGCTGTCTCCAATTTGTCCCTGGCACACCTCTCTCATAAATCTAATTCTCTTGGCAAATGAAGAGCAATACACTCCTGCTAACAGAGGTAACCAGGTAAAGTACTTTGCAGGGACATACAAGTGAATGAATTCCCCCAAACGATGATGGTTATACGCACTGGCCCACACTCACGTATAATAGAGTTTTACTCATGTTCAGAGACAATGTCCAGTAGTAAAATGCTTTCATGTCTGTGGCATAAATTCTTCTAGTGGGAACATGTCAGTCACAGTCAGACAGCTTTGCTGGCTTCTGCAGGATTGGCTCTAGAACTTTCCCAACTGGGAGTGAATAGAGATCAATTTAAACGTGTCACAGCTTGGATGGTTGTACTGTTCCTGCAGTAGGTAGTAGGCTGCAGATGGTAGGAAGGCTCTAAAGAGGGATCTGGACAGGATGGATCAAAGGGCTGAGGCCGGTTGAATGAGGTTCAACCTGCTTCAGTGCTGGGTCCTGCACTTGGGTCACAACAATCCCATGCAACTCTCCAGTCTTGGAGATGAATGCCTGGAAAGCTGCTCATGAAAAAGGGTCTGGGGGTGTTGATTAACAGCAGCTGAATACCAGCCAGAAGTGTGTCCAGGGGCCAGGAAGGCCAAGAGCATCCTGGCTTGTGTCAGCAATAGTGTGTGCAGCAGGACCAGAGCAGTGATCATCCCCTGTACTGGACAGGTGGTCTGCACCTCGAATCCTGTGTTCAGTTCTGGTCCCCCTCACTACAAGAGACATTGAGGTGCTGGAGAAGGGCCAGAGAAGGGCAGCAGAGCTGGTGCAGGGCCCAGAGCACAGATGTGATGGGGAACGGCTGAGGGACCTGGGGGGTTCAGTCTGGAGAAGAGAAGGCTCAGGGGGACCTTATCACTTTCTACAGCTGCCTGACAGGAGGTTGTAGCGAGGTGGGGGTCAGTCTTTTCTCCCAAGTAACAAGTGATAGGACAATATGCAACAGCCTCATCTTGCATCAGAGGAGGTTTAGACTGGATTCTATGATTTTATGCCCTTGCATTGTTGCAGGAGGGCAATAACACAACATAACATTGTTCACCACCACTTCCAAGGAGCAGAGTGTAATCCCTGCTACAAATCACTGCTTACCACTGGGGTAGGAGGAGAAGGAACCATCCGCTGCTGGGAAATAAATGGCTATTATTTTCTGATCCATTTACATCTGGAGATTTCTTAAACGGTGTAGATTTAATTCTGCCCAAA